AACTATGGGGAAAAGCCTTAACCCCATAGTTCTCCTTTAATGTCATACAATACTGGTTCCTGAAACAAGTTGTAAAAACACAGACTGCCAGTCATTGTGGGAAAAGAGTCAATGTAATCATTGTTTTATTTCCTTTTCCATTTCTGAATGAGACTCAATTGTGAAGTCCTCCTCCGGAATGATATTCACATAGCGATCATTCCTCGAAAGAGTGCAAAGCAACAACTTGTACTTCTTCAGGAAACAAGTCTTTATGGCAGTTATCTGTCACAGCTGAGGCTGACAACCGATGCTCCTAATGCCCCATAACAGCGGTAGCACTGGGAGAGAACACACATGCAGCATCCCAGAACATAGGCAACAACTCACACACTTGTCCTGGGAGTTGGGCAACAAAGCTTCTAAGTCTGGATGGGAGTCTCAGCTTTGTCAGGTACCACCCATCTGAAAAAGTTCCAATGAAGGGAAACAACACTATTATACAGATGCACAAACACAGTTGTGACTAGGTCTCGCTAGTCAAATCTTTTCCCAAGCTGGCTTGATTTTGGCTGATTTCATGATAAATTCTGGGACAATTAAATATTGTCTAAATACTAAATGCATGTCTATTCTTATTGAATAAGAATACACATTGCGTTTTTTGTGTATTTCTTCCAGATCTGTGCTGTAATCCAATGTGAAACTTTGCCTCTCTGCAGAATCCTCCTATAATAAAGACCAGCCACTTCTGATTCTTCCCTAGTGCAGGGTGACTGGGTCTTGTCTCCACCTCCTCCTGCAGGCAGCCTGTACTGGGCAGGGCCAGATGGGACTCTTCCACAGCTTTGCTCACTGCACAGGCTATGTATAGAACAGTGTTGATGCCACTGCTACTTTACCAAGGATTTTCAGTCAGACTGGGTTACTATACATACTGTATGTAATACCCCCATCAGTGCCTAAATGCAGAAAATACCCATCAGCAATCACTAGTGCTCTTCATGGACAAAGTGAAAAATTCTCTCTTTATATACACAGGAAACAGGGATATTCAGGCCTGCCATGGAAATGACAGCGGGAATCAGGAACCTGATCTGTTGCTGTCTAGAAACATAGACCACTTTTATTTCAGACACTTTGAAGAATAAGATTTCCTGTCCAAGACAACTGTAGGACAAGCAATTATGATGATGGGCCCAATGGTACAAAGATAGAGTACACTTTTTTTCTTTGATACACATAAAGCCCAAATGTCTTAGAAACTAATGATAAAGTTGAGTATAGAACTTTGACAGCAGGTAAAAGTGCTTTTTAAGAAGAACTCCAAGATTTTTTTTAAATTCACCCTTGCAGTGGGCCTACCCCACACTGCAAGGGTTCAAGTGATATTAAGTCACAAGCTTTCTCAAGCAGAGTGCTATGCTGTCACCCTTGTGTGTGATAGTATGCTGTGTGTGTCTTCACAAACACACAGACAGAGTAAATCAAGCTACTTCCATCCCCCCTGGCCCCCTCTCCTCCAAGATAGTTTATTAACAGTTGCTGGAGTCTGCAATGTCTCTTTGTGATCTTATACTGGACAGGAAGTTTAGGGAAACAGAGCTAAGAGAGTTGGGGCCATCTCTTTGGAAACATGATGATTTTAAGTGTTTGGGCAAAAATGTAAAGCAATGCATGTATGTATGTATGTATGTATGTATGTATGTATGTATGTATGTATGTATGTATGTATGTAGATTAAAAACCATACACCCACCAAAAGCTCAGAGCCAGCATATTATTAGACCGGTCCATCTTGTGTCTCTCACCCCCTCCTCTGCAGTGGTCTAAGGTCCTTTAAATCACCAACGTCTATACACAGTTTATAGGCAGAATAGGAACTCGGAACTTCAGGTAAGTATATCTTGTTATTTTTCTCCCAAGTGCAGGGGGTAGCCCCACTGGAAGGGTTATTACAAAGATTTCCTGGAGTTTTTCCTTTAACAATACAGCATAGGGAGTAATGTTGAGCTGCTAAATACACAAAGCTATTAACTATCTGACCTGATAACAGTAAACGGAAATTTAACTGGACGCAATGGAACACTTCTCTAAGCACTGCCTGGTCACAGAAGAGCAGTATTGTAAGTGCAGACATTGTATCTGGGTTATTTCACTTACTTCCTTTTGCTTATCTCTACACAACTATAAGATAGAGATACAGCCAATTATTTACAAAGCTGCAGTTAGAAATCATTGTTTCAATATGCCTATTATTGCGCTAAAAGAAATACTACGCAAAAGGTGAGAAACCAGAAAGAAATGTGAGAGTGTTTGAGGATGAGAGAAAAAAGAAAAAAGTCTGTAGGCTAAATAACTGAGGGTAGTGGATTATGGGTGGTGGCCTGTAAGGCGTGGGCTGTCGTTACTCTCAGAGCATGTTCACATCATGTCCTTTGAGATGTTTTTCTGCACACCACTGCACATGAATGGGGTAAACAGGGCATATAGAGAACAATTATATTCTATGCAGGGTGGATAAAATTAAAAATCAGAACATTTCTTTTTTTAATCAAATTTATTTTAATAAGATGCTTTTGGAGTAAAAATCTATCTAAATATACTTTTCTATTTAAGATACATTAGAAATTTAGTTTATTCAGCATGAAATGGAGCTTAGTTATGTAGCATGAGACTGTATATTATGCAATATTTACATTTTACTCATGATGAATGCAAGCTGAGATAACATGCACTGCATTGATGCATTCACACAATTTCACAGTAAGTAACCATGAGATAATATTCCTGAACTTTGTTTTATGATTTTCTTTATCCCATTGTTTGGCAAATCCACTCACCTGCTGCCCACCATGTCCCTCACCTTGTTGTGTCACTGCCGCATCACCAGCCGTCCCATTGAAGTGAATGGGACTGTCGGTGAGTCAACAGCGGGTCAGAGGAGGAGCTGCTGCGGGACAGAGATGACAGTTGCTCTTTAAAAATTACGATTTAATTCAAGCCTTCTTACTAGTGATTTAAATTGGGATTTAAATCGTGACTTGAAATCGACTTGATTTAAATCAAATCCACCCTGTTTCTATGTGCCCTGTTCACACCATACTTGTGTGGCGGTGTACTAAAAAACACACAACAGACATGGTGTGAAGAAGACCTCAAACATGTAATGGGTGGTCTTCTGGTGGGGCATATGATCATCAGTTATGGATATACATCATTGGTTTGGGTATCGGAGGGTTTAATTAGGGATGCACCGATACCGGTATTTTGGTACCGAGTACCGATAATATTTTACCGGTAACCACCGATACCAATTACCGAGTAACGGAAGTCCCATTCAGGAAGCCAGGTGGCGTGTAATGACTCCCCACCTGGCTTCCTGATTAGCCGGGAAGCCAGGCAGCTTGTAAAGACTCGCCACCCGGCTTCCCGATTCCGATCCCGAAGAGGGCTGTCCCCTCTTACCTTGGTATGTCCAGCCTGTCACCCCTGGGGTCTCTGCAGCCAGAACTCAGCCTTCCTCCAGCACCCAGCCGGAGCTGTCTGGCCAATCAGGAACCCCGTCGCCGTGTAATGACGCGACGCCCTGCTTTCTGATTGGCCGGGAGACCGGCTTCATGCTCCCTCTTAATGAGATGACGAGAGAGCATGAAGCCAGCTTCCAGCCAATCAGAATTCCAGGCTCTGTGTCATTACATGGCGCCCGGCTTCCTGATTGGCCAGCTTCCCGACCAATCAGGAAGCTGGGCAGCTCGTCATTACACGCTGCCCGATTTCCCGATTGGCCCGGAAGTCGGCTCCATACTCTCTCATCACAAGTGACAAGAGAGCATGGAGCCGCTTCCCGATCAATCGGGAAACCAGGCAGCGTGTAATGACACGCTGCCCGGCTTCATGATACAGCAAGTACTCGTGCTAGGCATTGGAGCATTTGGGAGAGTACGAGTACTCGCCCAAATACTAGGTATCGGCACCGCTACCGATACTAGGATCGGTGCATCCCTAGATTTAATAGTACAGGGATCATCTGCTTGGGAAATGGGAATGCACGAGAACAGAACTACCGGTAGGGTGGGGAAGCTCAAAGAAAAATATGCTAGCATTTGTAATTGGGTGAGAGTGACAGAATGTCGGAGACTGGAAAATTACCTGCAATCTGAGAAGTAATTAAAGTTACTTTTTAACCACCAGAAGTTCATCTGTGTATCAACAAACAAAATATCCAACTAGTATACAGCCATGGCATTTATATCATCAAAATGCAAATAGAGGAAATGTTCTGCAAAAACCAAAAGTAAGGTCAAGAAAAAGTTCCCAATCAATTCTCCCAGAATTGTGAAACCTGATAAAAGGCCACTATGGGCAACAGATCTACGTAGGCTTTGGATTCCTTCACTATGTTCTTAAAGTGACACTAAACTCAGGAGTTAAACTTTAAAAATACATTAAAGTACCCTAACTAGTAACAAAAATGCATCTTATTTGTGTATCACGCGGCTGTAGATCCTCACATCATCTCTGAATTGGTGCTGACACTGTCCTTCCTTCTGGAGGGTGGCAACTATTGTTCCCCATGGTCCCTCTGTCTAGTATTTCATTATTTTATTATCTAGTATTGAAAAGTATTTTTACGCTTTAACTCCTGAGTTTAGCGTGACTTTAAGTAGAGATCGCAGCACAGGACACAGCGCGCGGTGGCGGGCTGCAGTAGAACAACGCCAATTTTCCTGGACATGTAATTGGGTCATTTCAGGACATCCCAGCAAACAAGAAAACGCAAAGCTTCAATGAATGATTGATGAAAGTGCCAGAAATGAAGATAAAATACAGATATTCTGAATAAATGATCACACTGTACAGAAAGGAAAAAATAAAAAAAGGTGAATGTTTCTAAAAGTTAAGATGAGTTTCGGCCTGGAACACCACACACAGGTGTGTGTGCAGCCACTTGTGTCTCCGCCTACCTGTTGCTGGAGACAGCGTGCACACACACCACGCAATGTACAGTGCGCTCTCACCTGCTAGTGACAGCCGTCTCTTGTCCTTCTAATTGTGTACACCAGAATCCCCGACCTCCCACAGAGCGGCTCCGGCCGGCTAAATAACACAACTCTGGAACAACCTCGGCCACCAGCACCCGGAAGTAGAGCCGCTGTCTAAGCCTGTCTTGCTTCGGTCCTCTCTCTATGATCCGGTGATGTGTCGAAAGTGCGAACTTATCGAGTTGTGGGACCGCATTACTTCCGGTTTCCTCAGAACTACGAGGTTTTTACACAAAACATGTTGTGCACGAGCGCCATCCACGGCATTGCCCTATAGACATAGACCACAGCAATAAAGTAATAAAATGATGTAGGATGACAGTAAGCCAGCGCATTCTTTATCTCCGGTGCCCCACTCAATATGGCCGCCGCTTGAGTGGGGCACCTGAGATAAAGAACGCGCTGGCTTACTGTCATCCTACATAATTTTATTACTTTATTGCTGTGGTCTATGTCTATAGGGCAATGCCGTGGATGGCGCTCGTGTACAACATGTTTTGTGTAAAAACCTCGTAGTTCTGAGGAAACCGGAAGTAATGCGGTCCCCCAACTCGATAAGTTCGTAGTTTTGATCGATCACCGGAACACTGTTGGAAAGCAGGAGCGGAAATTGTCATCTCCGTCCAACACGACCTAGCGACAGTCTGGCTCACATTTGTGCTTGCCCTCTGCTGGCTGGAGTATGTACTGCATACAGGAATATGTCTTGCAGAGTTAGATTTGAAGGCACAGTTAATAATAATAATGACATTATTATTATAATTAGTATTATTATAGGTATTTATATAGTGCCATCAATTTACATCAGTCCCTGTCCTCAATGAGCTTACAATCTAAGGTCCCTATGTCACATGCATACATACTAGGGCCAATTTAGACAGGAGACAATTAACCTTCCAGCATGGGTTTAGAGTGTGGGGGGGAAACCATGAAAGTACAGGGAGAACATGCACACTCCATGCAGATAACTTCCTGGCCGTACCTGGATTCGAACCAGGGACCCCAATGATTCAAGGCTGAGGTGTTCCAGATTTGCATAATTTTCCTGGAATTCATTTTTAAACTTGTTTTCAGCAAAGAGCAGTGCTATAATGAAAATGTATTTCTCTCCATCCAAACCTTGTAGTAATGAACGTTCAAGGTTTTTTTTCTTTCAACAAGAATGCATCCAGATACACAAAATGTTAATTCCGCAGCAATATTTTTTTTTGCTGCCCAAGCATTTAAATTTTGAATTCATAGAAACCTCTCTTTTACAGAGTGTGTGCCTTGAATACAGCTCACAAGGGAGTCCATCTATGGGCTTTGAGGAGGCAGGAGCAGGGAAGTGGCTTGCCATCCTAAGCTTTGTGCCTGTGTGGACGCACACAGTGTAGTAACACACTGCGTACTTTTGGTTCTACTTCCGTCTGGGAGCACAGATGCAAGGGTGGCTTCACAGGACCCTACAAGTGAAAGGAATCACCCTAACACGGGATTGTTTTTAGATTGTAAGCTCTCACAGGCAGTGCCCTTCTTACCATCTTGTTTTGTATTGTAACTGTAATGTCCTTCTTTATATTGTAAAGCACTGCACAAACTGTGGGCACTATTTTAACCCTGTATTAATAATATTAAAGGAGAACTATGGGGTCAGTGTTTTTCCCCATAGTTCTCCTTGGGGTAACGGGAGGACACAAACTAGCGTCCTCCCGTCACCCTAAGCTCAGTATACCGCGAGCTACAGCTCGCGGTATACTGAGACGCCGCACCTGGAGCGGATCCCGACTTAGATGACGGGATCCGCCCAGCTGCGTGAGTGACAGCTGGCTCTGCCTATCTAGAGGCAGAGCCAGCTGTACCCGCCCCCTCCCCCGTCCGTTCCGCCAGTCAGCGCTGGCAGATCGGAGCGGGGAGAGGGGAATCCAGCCCCTCCCCCTGTCACGGCAGAGAGCCGTGACAGGATCGAGAGGTGAGCAAACCCGTTATGTTTTCCCTCACCTCCCGATCTACTGAGCCGACCTGTGACAGTCTCATTGTCACAGGTCGGCTTAGAACTATGACGTGAGTGGAAATCACTCATGTCATAGTTCTCCTTTAATAAGGACCAGTGCTCAGGAAATCAGCTGATTCTGCAGGAAATTAAAAGTTTAACACATCAAGGAGCAGCATCCATTGATTATTTCAGCTTTTGTAATGCCTTAAACATTTTTTGGCTTTAATGTGTGGAAAACAAGTGTAGGGATGCAAAATCTTTCCTAAATTCCTCTTTATAATCTTTTATTCCTTAAGAAGCAGCGGGCTGCAGTCAGCCTACTTGTACCTGAGCAAGAGTGATCTCCAAGCAAGTGATTATGGACTTGCTCCAGCAAAGTGCTATAGAGAGGTTTCATCATTGGTTATGGATGAGGAAAGTGGAACTTCAATGCTCTTTCTTAAATTTTTTTATTCTTCAGTCCCCTCTTGCATTGTCCTCATAAACATTCCAGCAGATCCAGCCTTGTCTGCTGTTATCTGCTGCTCCATTGCTGCATTCTAGCTCCCATACTATATGATACTTCTTGAGGGTGAGTAGAACAGAGTGAGATGTCTGGTTTCCTGTCTTCCAGGCTAATAAAGTGGAAGATCGAGGGAGACCTGGAAAAACTAGCTTAGTGGGTGTTGCCACCAGAATCCGGTGTCTGGCTGTTGCAAAAGATCTCCATTCCCACTGTGAAGTTGTGTTGGCTACATGGGGAGGCCGCTAGCACCATCTTAGTTTTCTCAGGTGTCAAGGTAGGTGGCTGTTAAGACTTTAAAAAGCAGTCCCTTGCTGTGATCGCATGGGTCTAGTAGTGTCTTTTCATCTGCTTGTTTGGCATACCACAGGGAAGATTTTTTGTATAGGGTTGACTGCAGTTTGCAATGCTATTAAGGTTGCATGGTGCTGGAGCTCAGTAAGTAACTGATTAATATTATCTAAAACAGCAACTTTTCTATTCAAAATGGTACAATTATTGGTGGTACAGAGTCTTCATGTTTTATATGTGAGAAAGTTACATGTATGTGAAATCTGACATTCACACTTTTTTTTTTTTTTTTTTTAAAACTATACATCTGTAGGCCTATTGTAC